CCCCAAAACCCCAAAACCCCAAAACCCCAAAACCCCAAAACCCCAAAACCCCAAATTTCTTTGGAAAATTGAAAATTAATTAATCCATAGCCTACTCCCTCAGTATCTTCTTCAAAGTCTCCCCAAGATTTCTGGGAGAAAAATTGGGAGGGAAGGGCGAAAATCCATAATGAGGCTTCTGCAAGCTCATCTTCTTCTTAGAAATACTCTTTTTCTTATAGTTCTTAAATTTAGGTTTGATGGACTCCCAATCATTAACCTTATTTTCCTCAAGATCTTTATTTAAGGTACTTGCGGATGGTCATTGGGTTTAAATCTGGGAGCTTCACATGCTTTCTCTCTTTAGGAGAAACAGAGACATCAACATCTACGGTCTGGATTGACTTCTTATTTCTGGCAGACAAAAAGTCCTTCTAAACCTTGATTAGCCCCTTCAGGTAGGATATTAAGGAATTTTTAAGCCAAAATTTAGGAATCTTATCTGACTAATGAACGTTATTCATCAAGAATATGCGAAATAATTCATAGCGCTTACTTTAAGAGGGTAGATATCTTTATGTAAATTCCTATATCTAAAACTGTCTCCTTACTGGTACTTATCTGGTTTAGGGTCCTTAATAAGGTTCTTGATGGCCTTTTGGATGTTCGAGCAGACCTTCCCTTGTCCATCTCCTTTGAAAGTATCTAAGAAGTGCTCTATATTCTCCAGAGATTTCTCTGTCTGGATAGCTAGATGCGCATTAGTTTTCAGAAGTTCTTTGGTGTTCTCTTTAATATTGATACTCTTCATAATTTTATCCTTAAAAGCTTTCTTTTTGTAGCGTTGAGTGGGAAAGGATGGATTCCTTGCTCTAAGCCATTTCTGGGTGTCAAAATTAGACAGATGGTTACTGTTCCTAGTCCCAAAAGGATTTTTGGTGGTTCTATCTGTCTTTTTAAATGTCTTTTGTAGCTCTTGATATTTCTTTAATCCATTAGGTTTCGGCTCCTTATATTCAACTCCTAATATTTTAGCTAATTTCTTCTTGTCTCGAGATTGTCCTAGATTGGCATCAATAAAGTCATATTCTATGAGTTCTTCAAAATTGTCTATCTCAAAGCTGTCTCTCAGGGGAGACATGTTTCTAGAAGGATTAATGCTCAGCTTACAGTTCTGGGAAATGAAAGGAACCATCTGAGTCTGAATCCCTTCAATAAAGGTACCTTGTATTCTCCATATATTAATTTCTATAATTTTATTCTACAGGGGTTTTGGGGTTTTGGGGTTTTGGGGTTTTGGGG